TCAGAGTGTATTTAGGGCAGAATTATTATTTGAGGCCTCAGTACTTCTACTCCGGACTTCCTCTGACCTTGGCCAATTCTTCTAGAAAATCTGTTTGGAATTCATTTTGCTGGCTTTATTAAGGCCAAAGGCAACTCTTGACCAGTGGCTCATTTTAACTCTTTTCTGCAAGGGATTTTAAAATGGATATGAATAAGATCTTTTCTAAACCCATAGTAAGAGCTCCCTACTGGACTAGACTAAGAGGCATCTAACTCTATGTTGCCCATACCTCTAGTTTAGAAAAGAACTTCAGAGATCCAACCAGCTCTGAATTAACCTTGCAAGATTCATAGCAAGGCTCCTGGGTCTCACAGTCTGGGCTCAGTCTTGAGTGGAAGTATCAAACTGGAGTAAAAATATCTTCATCTTTATACCCCCTGTTGGTAGGGGCCTGAGGAGGCAGAGACAGCAGTGAGTCCTCCTTGTGGCAGCACCAGCAACTCCCCATACATACCTTGGCAGAACAAATTCCAGTCAGGCTTTGATCCATGATTGCTGATTTTTGCATAAAAATATTTTATTTTTGCATTAAATATTTGATTTTTGCATGCTAAGATTTCATTTCTTGTTTTTCTTCAGAAGCTTCTAATTCAAACCCACTTTTAAACTGTTCTATCATTTAGAGCATTGTCTGAGGAGTTCTAAGTTAGTAGCTGATTTCCATAAAAAATGGGATTTTGTTCAGCAATGGTGGCCAGTGTTGGTGTCCAGGGATTTCATTTAGCAGCACAAATGTTCATCCAGCTGAGAGCTGAGGATGTGGTAAAACACCAAAATTGCTGTCTCAGCTCCCAAAAGCTCAGTTCTGCATTATAAACCCACAATCTTTTACCTTCTATGAAGACAGAAAACTTAAATGCTTTGATTACAGGAGGGAAATTCAGAAGGATTTGAAGAGTCCTTGAACCAACATGTCAGGCTGCATCAAGAGGTATATTTTTATGATAATGGTAATCAAATGAACTGCCTGAGGGAAAATAAGCAATTACAGTGGAGATGAAAGTGTCTGCCATGATCCTTCAGAAATTAGAATACCTGTTTGGTCACTTAAATCATCAAGTGAAGACGCTTATGATGGCTGCCTGCAGTATGTCCCTTCTGCCCAGGTAGGGTGACAGCTTTTCACTCTTGGAGCTTTTGATTTCAGATTGCAGTATTTCAAAACCTGAGAGTCTGTGGCTATAAATTAACATTCTACTGAGCCATTTTTAATGCCTTATTTAATAGAGTATGCTTATGTCTTTACTGGCATGAAAACACTGAAATCTCTAAGCTTTGTCTTCCAAGGGAAAAGCGACATAGAGCAAAATTGTTGTTCCTTGACGGAATTTTGCAGAGGATATGATGCTCTGAGAAGAAGTAAGAAGGTAGGCCCAGTCTCCATCCTCACTTTAAGCTCTGCACAATGTACACAAGCCCTGTCACATTTGACCTTTGTAACCATAAAGCTGAAATGACTTCAACATATTTCCAGCACTTAATTTGGAAGGCATCCTGACACAATCTACAGAATACTCAACTATGTCAAACTAAGTGAATGGTACATGAAGTAATCAAATAGTTGAAATGAGGGGAAGAAAAGCCTTCCACTAGTGCAGTAGTGGAGTTTCAGTGTCACTGGTCTGCCCTAGAGGATCCTAGTTTCAGTGTTCTGCAAGGTTTAGACACGTATTTGTTGGTTCAGGCACTCCATGGTGCCGCTCTGCTGAAGGCAGTGTCACTTTAAATAGTAAGTTTGGCTGTGGTGGCAAAAAGCAAAAAGGATATTTTGTTCTGAGCCAGTGATAGTTTTCAGCTGCTGTTCTGTATAAAGCAGAAAAGGCATGTGGATTTAGATAGTGTATCAGTAAGGAAAACGTCAACAGTAGCTGGCCTTGGGCGCTTGAGGATTAACAGCCCTGTGCCTGTCCCAAAGAGAAGAAATCCTCACTGACCAAATGAAACCTCAGAATCATACGCTGAAAAATGATTACCACAGTTTTGCAAGTGAAGTTCATGGTGAGTGATAAACTCCTCACTCTAAAAATGGACTTGATAGTAGTGAAGTCCAGATTGTTAGGTTTTAAAGGGAGGGGGGAAAAGTGTGAGAGGTTAGCTAGGAAATAAGCCAGTCTATCAGCAGTAGGCTGACATTCTGGAAAACATAAAGTTTTGGGCATCAGAAAGATTTTTATAGATTTACAAATCAAAGTTACTATCAAGTACCTCATTAGATTAAAGAAGATATTTTAAGTATTTGCACATTGTAACCCACATTAAATAAGGTTGCAGGTACTGTCCAATGCTTTGAGGTTTGTGTGTAGTCACAGCACATGGTGGGTTTGACGTGGGCCAGCTGCCAGCTGCCCACCCTGCCACCCTGTATCTCCCCAACCTCAACAGGAAAGGAGAGAAAATAAGAATGCTCATGGGTTGAGACAAAGACACTTAACAATTACAGTTATGGGCAAAACAGACTCAACTTTGGGGAAAATGGTGAGATATGATAAGAAATAAAAACAAAGTGTAAACTCCTTCCCCCACCTCTCTCTTGTTCCCCCCCAAGGCTGATAATTCCTCCTTCACTCCTGGCTTTCCCAGCTCTCCCCTGACTGGCCTGAGGGAATTGGGGCCGGGGTTTGTGTCCAGCACAGAGCAGCCCCTTCCCCTCAGAGACCCCCCCACCCCCCAATACCAGGGCACCTGGTCCAGCCAGTGTTTTCCAGGGCTGTAAAAGGACTTAGGTAGCTCCATAATGATCTGCTAAAATGCAGAATCACACAGGCCTCGATGTTAGAAAGCTCATTGCAATTTTCCTGGAGTTTTGACCAGCAGAGTTCAAATTGTCTTCAAGGAATTGCAGATTAAGGGAATACTGTGGAATTTGCACATCCTGTGTGGTGAATTGAATCAGCCCAATAAATGTACCAGTCTGAGGGAATGGTCCCAGCTGATTTACAGAAGGAGCATCCTTATTGCTAGCCCATGAATGATCAAAGCATGGAAGAATAAGGTGAAGATGAGCAGTTGAAGTTTAATTTCAGAAAAGATAGCCAATGGAAAGGGGAGTCATGTCCTTTGAACAATGGACTGCTTTGACATGTTTGCAAGAGACATTTCTGTGTAAATTATAAATACTTGTAGATAAAAATCAGGCAGAAAAAACTTGCCTTTCAACATATATAGATTCTTATTAAAAACCCCTAATTCAAATATGAATAAAGCTTTATTTTCCTTTTCATTTGGGAAAAAATAAATGCCAAGGCACTGCAGAGCTGGACTTTTCTCAGTGGGTATTTCCTTCTGCTCAGATGCCTGAGTCTGATCTCAGGGTCAGGATTGTCAGAGTCTGATGTTAGGGCTTGGGCAAAGAATGTTTCACCTGAACCTTGTGAGCACAACCTGCTAAGTCAATATCAGGAGAGGCATGCAGGAAATAGAAGTGTGCCTGCCACTTCTCGAATGAGCAGGTTTTAAAACAGTGAGAGTAATTTCAGAATAAATCATAAAAAAGGTAGTCTTGCAAAATTATTTAAACTTAAATATTAAAAAATAAAAGCATTGAAAAATCATGACCCTGGCCCATTTTCCTTCAAGGAGAATTTTTGAAAACTAACATTGGATTTTTAGTTGTTTTTAGACTTTTTAGAATTTTTATCTGGAGTTTTCCTTCCATAATCCGGGCCAAAAATTTACTTACAAAGATTGACATATGCCTATATTTTAGAGATAAAATTTAGGGTTAAAAACTCCTTTTGTCCATGAAATCATAAGAGTTGACAGGACCAAACGTCACTGAAACAGTATTGCCATTTGGCAGATCAAAATGCAGATGATACTGCATTTGTGCTTGTGTTGCAACTTAGAAATTATTGGCCTGGTTTCTAACAAGTTAGGTGTGCCATTCTGTGTGACTGTGGATGCTTAACTCATGCAGTTCCCACAATGGCAGAAAAACTGTGCACGTGGCCAATTATGGCTTCCTGCTGTAAAATATTTGATTTTTTCATGGCAAAATCTGATTTACATGTGCTACCCAGACATCAGCATACCTGTGTGCAATGGACTAACCAGAATAGTGGCTGCTGGGGGCTACAGAGGGGTTTGCAGCACAGCAAACCCAAAGTGGGGCTGTGCTTAGGGGGTGATAGTCCAGAGATCCCGCATTGCACAGGACAAGTCCAAGAGCAAATTCAGCCTCAGAGCTGCTGTTAGCTGTGGGTGTGTGCTGGGGCAGCAGCCGTGCTGGGGGACAGTGTCCCCCTCCCACCTTGCTGTGCTGGGGGCACTGCACATTTCTCTGTTTCCCTTCCCTGTGCCAGCAGTGTGGAGCATCAGAAGCTCCTCTGGAACTACTCCTTAAAACCCCTCTTCCTGGTGGCAGGATTTTGGTAGTTCACATACAGGCTATATCTAGATTAAAAATAAGTGAAGTCTTGCAGTGTCAGGCCGTACCCGAGAGTTGCTGTACTGCAGTATATCCCCCTGTGAGAACTTGCTTGCACTCTGGAATTGTCTTTAATTCTCAGTGCACTGTGTGAGGAGGTTTTCATAACTCTCAGTCCTGGCCACTAAGTATCTATGGATTCTTTGCTACGTGACAGAAGTTGCATCTCGGTACTGCTTAATGTTACTGAAGCACAAGTAAATTTTAAGGGACTTTAATGTTAAGTGAGAAAAAAGATGAAAGTGAAATTACATTTACTTTTCTGCACTTCAAAAGACTTGTTCTGCAATTTTTCTTTACCTTTAAAGATAGCAACTAGAAAGCTCCCAGTGTGGAAGCCTTTGCTTTTAAATGCTGCAGCAAGCGTAACACTCACTGGGTGAACTTGGAGTTGGCAAAAGCAAAAGCTGGGGGGGATGTACGGGAACATGTGCTGCCCTTTGTAGTTCCAGTTCTTTTAGAAGCACTCACAAATAGCTTTAGTTTCTTTAGCAAATACAATGGCATCATTCTGGGCATGCCTAGTGGAAGTGTTCTGGGGCTAGTAAACTGTGAACAAACCTGTTTGCATTGCTGCACTGCACAGCACAGCACAGATAAGCCCTAATTGTTATGCAACTCCTTAGCATAAGCTCCTGGCATGGCTCATATGCTTCCCTTGTACTAAGACTGTCCAAAATAGCAACAAGAAAGCATGTAACTAAAGACACAGCAGGAGTGTAGGAATTCACCCAGGCCTTGGATGTTCTAAAGAGTGGACAATTCTTCATTTCAAACCCTCCGAAATGCTAAGCATAATGTATTTTCTTCGGAGCTTCTTCAAGGTAAGCACTTTCAAACTTTTCCTGTTTGTTTGGTTTAGTTTTGTTTTGACGAGAGAGTGATGAGAGAGAAACTTGGATTTGAAGACTTTGTGCAGGAGTGTAGAAAGTAGTTTTCTTGAGAACTGATGCCCAGTAAGCAAACACACTCACCAGGTTTGCAATTTGCTTTGTTGTGTTAACATCTGATTTGTAGAAGGTGCTTGTTTGCAGCTACCATAAAAGAGAAACACTTGTTGTGGATTTGAGAGATCCTTATATGATGGAAACCATGAAATTTATGGTGTAAGCTACATCCATCAAATGAGAGTCGTTAGCAGTGAAAGATGCATTTTATGAGACAAACCCAAATCTTAACTTCTGATTTAATTAGGACTTCCTGAATTGTTTGTTGTATTTTAAATGTGCCAAATTGAGCAATTGAACACCAACATAATTAAAAATATTTTAGATACAAAATCCCTTATAAATTATTGCACATTAGTGTAAGTTCATACGAAACAACCAGACCAAAAATCTAATATTTAATGGTGGGTATGCAACTCTCTGGGGACAGTTTCTTTTTTTGTGAGCCTAAGTAAGTTCTGTGGCAGAGGCTGTGCTGCTGCCTGCTGCTGGGTTGCAATAGCTGTGTGAGATCTGAGCCCCAGCTGTGTCTGTCACCCTGCTCAGAGTTTGTACTGCAGGTTTTGGTAGGAGTGTGCACTGGGAAATGCAGAGGTGATTTGGAGAAGTGTGGGTCAAAGGAATGAAAGTTTAATCAGATTAGAGAATATTGGATTATTCTGAGATCTAAAATGTTAGAATTTGAAGCTCAGTAGAGAATTACGCTAACTTAGAAGAAAAATGCTTAAGGAACAGAGTAACTGTAGTGAGACGAACTCCAGATTCTCATTATGTTGTCACTTGCACATTTGCATGCCAAACTGCTTCTTGATAAAGTATGCTGCAGGACTGCAGCTGCAGTGGAAAGCCCAAGGGAATCTCAACACAGAGTTGCTCTGTGGAGAGCTGCTGTTGGAAATAAATGATAAATAAAATGATAATTTTGGTCCTAAGATATATAGCTACAATTAGCACCTGCAACCACCTGATTGCTCATGGGAAACATGTGCCACTTCTAAGGAGGTGAACCCTATTTTCAGCAGCCTTTCTTGGGGACATTTTATAGAACTGATCTTAAAAAGTTGCTTACATTTGGGTTGAAAATATCTACTTCGTTTTTTCTGAATTGCAGTGTTACTCTAAACACTGCATTGTTTGAGAGGTAAAAGTGAGGGACAGGAAAAATTCAATGGGAAGGTTTTTCTCTGTTACTGGGATATGGCTACTGACTCATGGTAGTTGTGTATTTGCTGTTTTATCACATGACAAGCCTTGACTTTAAAAATTTTAGCATAAATCATGCGGCTAAAATGTATGTAAATATCCTCCTTCACGTGGGAGAGTATTTTCTTCTCAGCACTTACAAGAGTATATTTTTCTATAAAGACCAGTCATCTACAGTCATCAGTTTGAGAAAAACAGGACTGAGTAGAACTGTTAGCTGTCAGCTGTGTTACGATGATTACTGGACTCATCCTGAATCATTTTAATGTAACAGCTTTGTGCCATTTCTGTGGGTTTCAGTTTGAGAAAGGCCAGTTCATCTCTGTGAATTTAATTCTGCATTCATTGACTTAAATCTAACAATCAGCTAAGTAGGTCAAACTATGTCTGAAATGGAGGAAAAATGAATACCAATCTAATGCCAGTTTTTTCATTGTTTTCTGTTAGGTTTTCTTGAAATAGAAAGCTTTTAATTGAAAGCTGGGGAAAATACAGTATATCTAGAGCTGTATTTTAGAGGCCCTGTGCGCACCATGCTGCACTCTGATGTTCTTGTGGTGTGGCAGAATGACCCAAATAGTTTGAAATGCACTCTGAGGCCTCAGCTACATTTCTCATCAGGATTTTAGCAACTAAAATCCCTGTGTCCTTGCCTGGGAACTTGAAAAGTATCACCCTCATCTGACTGAAAAAAAAAACAAAGGTAGGATGAGCCAAATAGCAATAAACCTGCCCTTGGCTTTGGGATAAATGCTGCTATGGGAGAGTTACTGTGGTGCCTCTTATCTTCCTCTGGAATTGTAACAGCATTTTGCTGATGGGAGGAGCATGAGGAAGTGGAAATAGCATAAACCTGTAAATTAGAAAAACAATTAAAAAACAATAGCATAAAGTCCCTAGAGCTGGGGGCAAGACTGTGGGGCAGAGCTGGTAGGAAGGAGCTCAGGACCCTCTGTCTGCCCTTGTTTTTTTCTGGTTCAAGGCTTTCCTAGCACAGGACTGAGTTAGCAGCACACAACTCCATCATGTTGCCTTTCAAGCAGACACAAAATTGCATGTACATCTCATCTTAGGAGGTTGATTGTTGCATCTTGGCCAACCAAGTTTTTTGTCTCCAATAATAATCAATTTAAAGGCCTCATATTTTTATTCTTTAATTCTCCCAAGTGAAATAGAAACAGGTCTTGGAGTTGTTGTCAATGTGTGACTGCATGAGCCTGAGCTGCTGGTTTTTCTCACTTATTTAAGTAATTCTCTAATTAAAATATTTCATGTGACTGTTCACTTGGTATGAAAATATTTGGTTTTAACTGAAAATATGCAGAAATTGAAGTGTAATTCCTTATTGAATGAAAAACCATATAAATGGCTCACATGAGCCATAACTGGATTTTTGAGAAGTGTGACAACAAAGTTTATGGAAGCAACTTCTTTCTTCCTTTAATTTTAAAACTAGAAAATGCTGATTAATACTGCTTTTTTTTATCATGGTGGCCACAATAAGAATCATGTTTTCATTTGGCATGGAGCATTTCAAAACAGGCAGCCTGTTGCAGTCATTTCCAATTCCTCTCTAATGCCACTGGTACTGCAGTAAACAAGGCACGATGCAGATTTGCCACTAATACCTTTAATGCCTCTAAAATAGTACACCTATTGTTCTCTCTGAACCAAAGCTCCAGGCCACTAATACCAGCTAAACAGTTCCTGGTCACTTGAAAAGGCCAGTGGATGCCTGAGCAGTGGATGCCTGAGCGGTGTCACCAGTGGCAGACAGAGATTTTGGGAGCCCTGCTGCTGCTGCTGTCATAGGAAGCAGCATTGCACAGCTGTGGAACATCCTAAATTTCTATCAGATTCCACATTCAAAGCGTTGTACATTTCTCTCCCCTTGGCCATAAACTTCATTTAATTCTGCTCAGAAATCTGTGTCATCTTCCTGCTTAGATTTGCAGCCCATCCAGCTTTGACTTTGGATCTGGGCCAGACTTCGCTGGGTTTCTCTTTAAGCAATGTGCCAAACTTGCATTTACACGAATGGAACTGAAGAGTTTGTTCACAATTCATGTGTTTCTCTGAAGGAACTTCTGTTCTGACTTAAGAAATCAAGGACTGTATTAGTATTAGTTTTAGGTCCTGCATGCGTTTCACTGGATATTCATCTATCCTGAAACTTTAGGTTCCCACCTAAGCTTTGTGGTTTAGTTCCCTTTTTGTGACCACAAGTATTTTTCCTGGGCTAATATTTATTAGTCTCACCCTTGGCACCTGCAAGATACCTGTGAAATGAGCACTAAAAATCTGTCTGGTTATTCTGCTCTGAGGGTCAGATCCTTTTTCCCTTCAAGTGAAAGAGCAGAGATTTCTGAAAAAAACAGTCCTGATTTTGGCTGGATCTGTGCCAGACATTTAACAGAGGCAGGGACCCTGCTGAGTGGACATGCCCTTGGGAAGTCAGAATGTTTCTCATTGAAAATGTGCCTTGTTATCTGCAGAAGCTTTGGTTCTGTTGTGTGCAGTTGTAACATTGCTGCTGTGTTGGGGCCATGTCTTGACTGTAACATATTTAGCTGAATAATAACTGTGGGTATTTTAGGTTTAATGTGGATAATTCAGGTTTTGCCTAAAATTTAGGTATGAGTGTAACATGGAGATGTTCTAAACACGTGCTTATCAGTTGGTTTTCATCTAATCTGTATGATGTGGTGTATGAATGTGCTCTTCAAGCACGCTCAGCTGTCAGGCAGGAAGATGCCACACAGGTATCTTAACCTGATCTCTGGCACCCTGTGAGTGTGTGGAGGTTCCAATCTCCTGGCCAGCGAGGTCACCCTGTACTCTGGGATTTCTGTGCACTGATGCTGCAGCTTTCTAAGTAGAAACAAAAAGTATCAGGAACAAATAGAACGTTTCAGCTGGCTGGGAACTGCTTTCTTGCAAAACTGGCTGAAGAAGACTGTCAGTGTTTAGTTAATGAACTTCTTGTAGCATAAATTAAACCAAGAGAGCATTGAGCTGGAGCTAAAGTGACAATCCCAGAATGTCAGTTTAGATCTTAAAGTCTGCAGCAACTCATACTACCTGAGCAACAACTCTGCAAGTAATACCAGAATACACACCTCTTCATTGAAAACTTAAAGAGGGTTGCTAGTGCCTCATTTAATATGCAAAACAACAAATTTGAATGATTGCAGATATGCTTGTAAGAACCCTTGGGTTATATTGGCATGTAGAATAGATACTGCAGTCAATGCTGTGAGTACGTGTTCTTGCAAAAATACAAAATTAATTTTACTGGAGTTTTAAAATGCTTTTAGAAAGACAGCTGTTTTAGTAGCATAGGTTCATGTATAAAATGTCTCTGTGAAGGTCTTGCTTTCAGGGGGACTGAAGCAGCTGTAGACAAATACTTTTCAGCTGAGGTAACCACAAACTCTAAATTTTGTCCAAAGGAAGTGGCATGCCTTGACCTGAAATGCATTTTCCACTGAGAGAAGCAATATGATGGCCAGAGTTAAATTTTCAAATAATACCTTTGATACAAAGAAGAATGGAAATTCACACATTTTATCCTTGCAATGGCTTCTCTCTAAAAAACATTGTGTCCCAAAACTGAATTAAGGGGCAGAGTGCATGGCAAATAATCAGGACTGGGAATTCCTCATCCTAAACAG